TATTTTGGGATGGAGGAAGTACTGCATTTTCTTCAAATGTAATACTCCAATGTAACATTCTAAAAAAAAAAGATGTGAGATTCTTCAAACTATTCTAAAAGGGTTTGGGATTTTTCAAACCATTCCAAAATGAGTAAAAAAAATTTCTTAATAAGTTTTGGATAAATGTATAATTTCAAATTATGAGTGTTACGTTTGGAAAAAGTACACTAAGTAGTTTTTTAGTGTTTTTGATGTGTGTTATATTGGAGTGTTCCATGTGAGATAACATTGATGAGAGTGTTACGTTTGTGAAAAGTATACTAGGTTACATCTGAGAAAAGTTTGGAGTGTTATATTGTTACATTTCAGAAAAGTACACCAAAGAATTTTTTAGTGTGTTACATTAAAGTGTTACGTTATTGGAATATTACGTTGAAGTGTTACGTTCTTATTCGTAATGTGAAATTTGTTCTAGAATGAGAGAAAATCCAAAACCTCTATAGTGCCTATTGCACAAATGTGTAATTTCACATTTAGATAAACTTATTTTTATCCCTAAAAAATTAAACACGTTTACCCAAACGTGTAAGTAACTAATTTTTTTGTGTAATTTTCATTTTGATGGGGCCTTTGGGTTAATGAGAAGAAAAAAAAAGAGGACTAAATAATTTATAAGATCATATTTTGAAATTTATTAGTGTTTCACTCAAAAATAAATATTATTTTTTAAAAAAAATTAAAATTATTTCTACCTTAAGAAATATAATATCATATGAAATTTACGACTGTGTTTTAAATTTTAAATTTTAAATTTTTATAAAAATATTTCAAAAAAACATATTCCAAAAATTAAACCAGACAATATCATGTGTATATATATATATATAAAATAAATGTAGTGTTTTTTTATTTTCTTTTCTTTTCTTTTCTTTTCTTATGTGACACATTTCTAAGGCTTATCTTTAAAATTCTAAAAACTTTTTTTTTTTTTGTTATAAAAACATATAAAAGTGATATCAGAATGTCTTTTCTATTTTCTACACAAACTCAATTTTAATTATAATAACCAATTTTGTATGGATTATATTTGAGTAATACTTATTTTTTATATATATAAAATTAAAATTTAATTATTATGATATTTAAAAAAAAAATTAGCTCGACATACAAATAAATCTATATAATAAAGCAAGACTATTTTTGAAAATGTGTTAAAATGTCTAAGAGATACATTTTGTATCAATGGCAGAGATTAATTCCCAAATTCTTCTTAGGGTCAAGATTTCTTAATTTCCATCCACCCACCTTATTTTCCTCCCTTTTTGTTCACTCATGCATTCTCTCTCTCCTGCACACCTTCCTCCCTCTTTCCTTTTTATTTTCTCCTTTTTTTTTTGCGCCTCTATTTTTTTTTTATTTTCTCCTTTTTGTTCCCTTATTTTATTTACACCGTATCTTCATACACACACATACACTATTAAATAAAAAAGACAGAATGTGCTTAATTATGTACATCACATGGATCAAATTAATTTTTTTTGTATTTTTTAATTTTTGTCTATCTTATTGATATCTTAATATTAATTTATATTTAATTTTTATTTAACATGAAATTATTTATTACAAAACATTTGTATTTAATTTAAATTTTATATGCTTATATACAATATCTATAAATAATTCAAAAAGAATATTAAAGAAAAAATCAAAGTGGTGGCTAAGACAGAGAAGAGGCAACTGGAATGGAAAGTCGTCGCTGTTATTGGGCCATGAAAGTGGGACGAAGGTAGAGATGGATCGCCGATGTTGTAAATGGTGAGGGAAAGTGTATCGGAGTTGGTAGTGACTCGTTTGGTACAATGGGGGTGAGAGTAGGGTTAGGATTAGGGTTAGGGTTAGGGTTAGGATTAGGATTTGGATATGTTTTTTCAAGGTTAGAGATGATAGGAATAAAATTGAAATTTTGTATTGTAACGCCCTCAAAATAACAATATTAAACCCATCATTAAAGATATGCATTGATATGTAAAAGTTCCACATTCTTCCATTTATCAGAGTTCTATTACAAAAGTATTACATGTTAACAACAAAAGCAAATGCCCTATGGGCTTACAGCTTTCCAAGTTAACACTTGGTTACAACAAAAGAGTACTAACTCGTTTACACATTAAGCCCTTGGCTTGAATTTACATGTAATACATCAAAAAGTAAAACGACAAAAGTATGTCCGCCTCTAGCCTCCCAAGCTATGTCCTTGGAGGTGGCATGCTACCTGTACCTGAAAGTGATATTCCCATATAGGGTGAGCCACAGCCCAGTAGAAATACACTAAACCAACCATGAACAATGACTAAAAGATTAGCAATTGATAGATGGCCAACACTGATACATTTACATAAATCACATATTTATGTCATACAACTTATGAGTCCAAGTTACTTTTCATTTTCCCTTTTCAACAGATAAGCATGTTAGCTCTATCATTATTTCAACAAATATGTATAAAAACTATATCCCATATTCACAGATAAGCATATAAGCTATATCCACATTCTCAACAGATATCTATAACAACAATATCCCACATTCACAGATAAGCATAAAAGCTATATCCACACTTCACAAAGATAAGCATATAAGCTCTATCTTCACTTCTCTAGACAAGCATATGAGCTGTATCTACGGAGTTCATCCTCTATCTTCTCCCAGCACTATCCGGTTTAGAGGTACATCCCCTATCTTCCCCTAAACCGCGGAGTACATCCCCCATCTCCTCCTCTACACATAACGTATACAAACACATTGGTTCTATATACAATCACTCAATACATACAGTTAATGTATTCTAACAACCGTCAATTTTCATGACACATTCCATTGACTAGTTTTCGTTTGCCTAATCATCATGCATTGTCTACAACAATCACGACTATCCTCCACCGATAGCCCAAAGCAATTATTTCTAAACAGAAAATAAATGCACAAAAAAATATTCAATCAACAGCTGAGAGTTATTTTCCATAATTAACATTTCAACCCTTAGGTCCCATTTTCATCAATGATTCAACATTTATTCCATTTCTCTATACCAAGCATGCTTCTAGGTTTATTATAAATAAAACCCCAACTTTTGTAAAATTACACAAAGTCCCAACCTTTCACAAAATTACCAAACCAAGCCCAACATCTCAAAATACCAAAATTTAAAGACCAAATCCATAGAGAGGAGTAGGATATCCCTACCTCAAATTTGGAGCCCCAAGGGAGAAGATGACAAAACCCAACGTGCTCCAAATCCTGAAATTTTCAGATTAAAATGTAGCCCTCGACGATCAACAACTTTTTTGTAAAGGCCAAAGATGAGCAAATCACTCCTACTAGATCAAAACCTAGAGAGAAGGTAGAGTTCTAGAGTGAGAGGCTCAACAATGGTGTTTTTGGAAAAGTAGGAGAGAGAAGAGAAAGTGAAAAAGTGATTTGAAAAGTCAAAACACGGAACTTAAACCCAGTCGACCCGCTCGAGCGTCAAACACCCCGCTCGAGCATCACTCACAGACACCCACTCGAGCGTCAACAATACTGCTCGAGCGGAGGATACACACTCCCAGAAGTTTTACAGAACCAGGTCTACGCTCGAGCTTCCAACTCCCCGCTCGAGCGGCACTCACACAACCCCGCTCGAGCGGCCAACTCCACGCTCGAGCGTCCAACACTGCACAGGAAATACTGGATGGGTGCAATTCCTGCTCGAGCGCCAGAACCCCCGCTCGAGCGGACAGGTCAAAATCTGGGCAACTAGTTTTGGTTTCTAAACTCAACCAACCTGTAACAAACCTGCCCAACACATCCTATAACTCAAATACGACGTAAAAAGGATGCAAACAAGATAATAAACAACTACCAACATCCACGGACACATGTCCGGATCACTGTACAACAAGGGTAAACCCGGGATCGCTATATGTATTGAGTTAAAATTGTAATAAAAAAATGAAAGAAATTGGGGTCTAAACAAAGTGGTGGCTAAGACAGAGAAGAGGCAACTGGAATGGAAAGTCGTCGCTGTTATTGGGCCATGAAAGTGGGACGAAGGTAGAGATGGATCGCCGATGTTGTAAATGGTGAGGGAAAGTGTATCGGAGTTGGTAGTGACTCGTTTGGTACAATGGGGGTGAGAGTAGGGTTAGGATTAGGGTTAGGGTTAGGATTAGGATTTGGATATGTTTTTTCAAGGTTAGAGATGATAGGAATAAAATTGAAATTTTGTATTGAGTTAAAATTGTAATAAAAAAATGAAAGAAATTGGGGTCTAAAAGGAAAAAAATGAGGTGCTAATGGTAGCACCCTTTGTAAATTAATGATTTAAATTTTACTTACCTATTAACCCATTAAATAATGGATCAAATTGAGTTTATAAGTAGGTGGATAAATTCTAAAACATTGAATAAAAATATCAAAGTGGCACACATTTGAAACCCGGACTGGACATCCAGTTTAGTTCCCAACAGCAAATTCATGATTTATGGGGGATTAGTAAAGAATTTAATCCCTTGCTGGAGACTTGCATGACTTTGGCCACCATGCAATTCTATCTCTCCTTTAGAGAGGGGGAAAGAAATATTAACAATCACAAAATCCCAAACTTCATCCACAATTCTATGGCCATTATCTTGTTACTTCTCAGGAATATCAGTCAACTAGAAATACAAAAATGAATTACATACTACACAAAGTACAAACATCACAACTGGAGAAATTTCCACTACTGTACACTGCACAACCTCACTTATACTATCAACAAACACTAATAAATCAGCACAATTTTATCAAATTTAGATTTCCAGTAGAAGCGATCAACATACTTTGCAATAAAACGGGGATTTCCTGTCTAATTTGGGTTGAAGGAAGATTTTTCGGGATCCAATCACACAATAGAAAGTCATCATTAATTTGTCTTTTATGATGCAGTATAACCAGCATGAAAATCAAGAAGTTGAAGGTGGCTCTCACATATAACAACAACAACAACAAAACCATGCTCTTAAAGATCAAGAAAGCATAACCATCATTATTACAACCCCAATTCTTAAAGCTACATTGCCTTGGGAAATTATACTACACAAAACTGAGACTGACATTATATTTTCAAGAAAGCTAAAATTGCCACTGACAGAAACTACGAGACATACTTGCAATCTGCTAACAGACCCAGATCAGTAAAACAGGTACAAAACATTGCCATTCAGCCTTTGGATATTTATATCATTTAAGGCATGAAAATCAGAGGATGTTATCCTTTCATCGGGCAATACTCTCCGATTCTACAGCTGTAGTGGCATTTATATATCCTTGAACTAGTGAATTTCAGAGCATGCTGCGAGAGCACTGTCAGACTTCTCATCTATAATGCTGATGAAGAAACACAGATATTCAAGTTAGATGTCAACCCAGTAACCACAAATTGGAGATCTTACTTGTTGAGGGGATTAAAGAAAGATACATACTACATGGCAGCTTATAAGTAGTGCTCAACATATCAACACAAAAGCTCATTTTTCTTGGTTCTTCACGACATTTCCTGTAGCAATTCCTACAGTTTTGGAATTGACATCATATGACGACAGGACCTCTCTCTACAACAGTCAATGAAAATAACTTTATTTAAGAGATACACGGTCACAGTAAGCTAGAACTTCTTAGAAGAGTGATAAGCAAAATATTAAACATTAACAGTATTGCAAGAGTTGTCACGTGAAGCATTTCACCATATCATTGAAGCAGAAGAATACTTACAATTGGCTCAAAATCAAGGCTAGACAAGTTGATGGTGAGGTTCCTCATCAGCAACAAAGGCTGTACGTAGACAGAACTCAAAAAGACAAAGATGTTCAGTTGCAAAGCAATATCCCTCCAATTGAATGACATTAATAAAATCCACATTGACCCAACCGACATCAAATCACTTCATCATGTAACTAACAAATACAAGGAAAATCATCCATAGACAAGAAGCTTAAGGTTTCATGTTAGAGATCAAAGGGGCCATTGTGCAAATGCGAGCAATAGAGAGTGCATGCCGTACCTGCCATTGCTAAGAATCATTTGCCTGTTTGGTTTTTAAATTAAAAAAACTGTTTTTTGAGTTTTTTGCTTTTTGTATTTTTGTCATTTTTATAATTTTTAAAATATTTTCATCAATTATTTTAACTTGTTAGATATGCTTAATCTAGATGCACCTAAAAGTAAAATATTTCTAAAAAAAAGCAAAAAAATAATTAAAAACTATTGTCAAACTCTCAGTATCTGTCAGTATCTTTTTTCCCTTTGTATGATATAACAAACAAGCACAAGGAAAAAAAAACTAGTTCAAAATGAGCTTTGGTCGACACGTAAGCTCTTCTCTAATACTATTCCAAGTTTTCTCGTTCAAAGTGCTTTTCACTTTTCCAAGTAGTAGACCCAAACAACACATCCATAAGCTACTTCTTACTATAAATACTTCAAACCACCCATTCCCCTTTTATCAAACACACCTCCAACTACCCATATCTCTCATCCAAAAAAACACCTCCCTCTCCCTTCCTCCCTCTCAAAGATTTTTCAATTTCCCGACAATCGAAGATGTATTTCCAGCGACAAAACACACGCTTGATCATCATGATTGCGATCTGTGTCCCCATTTTGTGCCACGCCAACACCCATGTTGGAGCAACGAGGGAGTTGAAGTCGCCACCATCATCATCATCATCATAGTTTGTGAGCGGTGCAAGTGCAAGCCACCTTGCGACATACCCATCAATGTACTACGAGAAAGCCAAGCTCGCCATGGCTGCTTGGCTCAAACGCTTACCTTCGGGTCCTAGCACCAGTGGTCCAGGCCATTAGTAAATCATATACCATGTTTTTTTAAGGCCATGCCTTGCCATGCCACAACAAGTATACAATTTGTTTGTTTTTGTATTTGTTTTGTTATTAAATATATGTGTGCACGGAAAATTATATCTGATTATATGATTGGATTATGTGCACATACAAGTATAAATGAATAAGCAAAATTCTTTTATTTGTATTATCTGATGAGTTCATTTTTAGTTAATTCTCATACCTGGTTTTTTAGATTATGGTTTTTTTTTTTTTTTTAACAAAATGTCGCTCCCTGCAACTGTTTTAAAGCAAGCTAGCAAAACGTGTTGCACCATTTTAATATCTTATATTTATTTATTGATTTATCTTTTTCATAAATGGGGTTTCATTACTTTGGTAACATCTTGGTCATAAATGGAGATTAAATAGAATTCATGAACTTGGTTACTGGTCATTATTTTGGTGTAACTATTTTCTCTTGGTTAATGGTCATTATTTTGGTGTAACCATTTTTTCTTATTTAATGGTCATTATTTTTTGGTGTAATTTGTAAGGTCCTAGTAGCCTAAAAATAGTTCCTCTCATCTATTCTTTTCTATACCAACGCACACCAACTATTTTCTAAGAATGGTGTTTTTCTTGGTAGAGCTTTGGGTTTACCATCTTGTGTAGAGTTGGCCTGAACCATACGACAAGTGGTCGGGCTGTTGTATCCTGGAGGGGACAAGTCATAGTTTTGTGACTGCTGTATCGGTATTTGAATTCTTCTTACCGCAGTGGGCTTGATCTCGTTAAAGAAAACGAGATATCCGTGCCTCAGCCTGATCTATTTGTATCTCATTTTTTTTTTTGCATCATTTATCAATAAAATATAATTTTGTTGTTGTTGTTGTTGTTGTTTTTTTTTTTTTTTTCTCTTAGTAAGCAGGGATCAATCAAAGTTGCTGGAAATAACTTATATAATTGGTGCGTATTTTTAGAAGTTTATTAGCTAAGTGTTGTTAGTTTGCAATGGTTCCAGCATTTCATCAAAAACCTGGTGGCCAAAAGCATAGATAGAGAGGTCCACATGCTTAAAGAAAAAGTTCCTTAAAAAGAATGACAGTAATGTTAAAAATGTTCTTCCAGTGAGTCTATGCAATAAAGGACTTCGTTTGATACAGTAAAAAAAAAAAAAAAGATTTGCTTGCTCATGCAAAAACCCCCCATTTCAGTGTTTTTAATTCGTGAATCCAGAAAAATATGTCTGGAAAACTCTGTTTTTGATTTATGGGTTTGCCTATTTTTGCTTCTTTGATCTTTGTTAACATATCAAAATTGATAATAAGAGGGAGATTTAAAAATGTATAGTTGATCTGGTTTAAGTTCTAGCTTGCTAAAATCTCTCTTTTTTCCTTCCCTATCACCTTTAATCATCTATACTATTATACACACACAATTCACTCACTCAGGTCATCCAAATCATCCAAAAAAATCAATTCAATTTAAATTCAGAGTTATACCATCACGATAATCATCATCTAAATCCTCAACATAATAGGAGTCATCGTCTTCTACAACTGTGGGCCTATGATCCTCCTGCAAACAAAAAACGCAATTTTGTTTTACAAAAACAGGAAAAGCAAAATCAAAACATAGACAAATAGGGGAAATGGAAGAACCTTGGAAGAAGATTTGTGCTTTTTGCTATGGCGACCCTTTTCACCTGCAATTAGAGAGTGAATCAATTAATTCATATCACAGGGAAAGGATGAAGTACCGTGTCCCATGGAGATCTCTGTGGAAGATAGGTCTGTATCGTTGTTTCGTTTGGGGTCTTCTCTGTGTGGGAGTTATGTAGATACAGAGGGGATTTCGGTGTATATTGTAACTGCAATGAGGAGACGTGGAGAGTGGGAAGTGGGAAAGTGAAATTGATTGTTTTGTTTTACCATTTTATCTCTAATTAAAATTGATGTAACTGTAAAAAGTTAAGGTTATTTTAGGAAAAAATAAGAAAAGTTTCTAAAGAGTGGCTTCATGACACCATAAAAGCTGTTGGCTTTTAATAATAGTATATATATATATATATATATATTCAGGCCAATCTCCTAGAAAAGAATGAAGAAGACTCATATTTGCAATCATAAATAAATATACAGGAGCCTAGTGCTGAATCAAAGCTAATAAAGATCATGCTTCATTTCATGTTTTTAATGAAATTTTTACTTTACTGATAAAAAAAACTAGGTGAAAAATGAAACGGTGATAATATTTTTTTTGAACATGTGACAATATAAAATAAACTAGCCAAGATTTATTTTAACTTTTTTTCCATTGGCAGGTAGTTTTGTGCATTGTTTAAGCTAAAACAAATTAAAGTTGGTATCTAGAGTCCACACATGGTTGCAGAGATGGCTTAACACGCCAAGGTCGCACTTCAACAACAAATTCATCACGAATGAGCATATGTTATATCATAGACTACAACTTGATTTCAAAACAAATGATTTTATTATTAGATATGCCTCTAGTGTAGCTAGAATGAATATGTCATTACTATCTTTTTTTTTCCTTTTTCTGTTCTTGTAGAGGTAGCAAATATCATTTACCACAGCTACAGGACCAAGGAAAGAAAACAAATACCTGAACCCACCCTCTTTCTCGAGTGCAACATACACTGCAGGATGTTCTTACCAACATTACAATTATCTTTTGAAGAATCAAGTGGAAGGAGTGATTTTTAGAGCTGGTTATCGGTTGATCAACAAGGTGAGCCTGTACTTTTTCCCATTTTCCCTTTTTGGTGGTGATTGTCTCCACACACAGGTGAAAGTAATGTTGGGGGGTTGGGGCGGGGGTGTTACAGGTCAAGTATATTCGCAAGAATTATCCAAAAACAACTATAAAATGGGCATACTAAGGCACAACCACAACACATATAAATCCAATGTGGAACTCTTTAATTGCTACTTCGATCCTTGCAATAACTGGCCTTCGTCTGCATTGGACTTCAGTTCTTGTACAACTTTGTTCTTGAAAAATGCTTCTAGCCTTATTGGTAGCTATGCCTCGGTAATTAGCTTCTCACCGCGTGCATTAGAGGTCAAACGGCTAACCATGAAACTGTATTTATAATCTCATATAGAAAACAGTGGCTTGTTTAGATGGGAAAATCCTTAATACTAATTTGTCAACCACTATCAGGTAAGCAGCCAGCCATTGCTTTTCAAGAAATTGTTTCTCTGTTCCTACCAGCAAGAGAGAGAGAGAGAGAGAGAGAAATTTCCTAGATACATGGACTTTATTCTTATACCACACAAAATTGAAAGGTTGACAAGTAGTATTATTCTCAAATACTACAGCTAAATTGCTGGGTGTTGGCTCAACTCAACATCCATTAGGAAAAGAGCACCGTTTAGGCGACATCAGCCTAAATAATATCCATCGGGCTGCATTTGGTATTGTGAACAAAAGATATAGAAATCAGCAGCATAGATCACTTTTGCCTCATTTTAACAAATTTAGCCCATAGACAAAATTGTATAGTTTAGCTCCTTTACCTCGTTCATCAAAAACAACCAGTAAATATATTCAAACATTGATAATAAGTACTCAATTAGTGAGCAACATCATAAGAGAATCTATAAGTTATTAAGCAACATCTAACTATTAATAAAACTCAAAAATTATTGAAAACATAAATGATGCTTACCTTGCTGAAAAGGCTGCTACGACACTATAGTAGTGATCATTCAACAACATCTAGTTATTACGCAACATGTTAATAAAGCTTTTAATTTTATTGTTGTTATTATTATTATTTTTTTATGTAAACGTAGTGATCATTCCCTAAGCATTTAATTTTTACCATTTTTTTCAAATGACAATTCAATAAGTTCATCCTAGTGTAAGAGAAGAGGCATAATAAAACCCAACCAATTTTGTTAATATCATACCACTTCATGCAACATTTTTGTAATAAGTTTGGTACATATCAGTACAAGAGATAATATCATAATGCAACATATATAAACGAGTTCCACGTAATAACACACTTTTTGTGAGCATAGGCCTATACGAGGACGTGCTAGTATAAATACATTTATTTGGGATAAAATACACATTTTAGTATAATGTACAATTACCTTCACAGCTTAAAAAATTTACTCAATATCATGCATTCTATGATTGTCTTTTGGCATGAACTTCTTAATCACTTCTCAGAGAGCGGGATCTTGTCCTTTAGTTGAGAGTATGTCCACAATCAAGGGAAAAGTGGATGCATCTGCTGAGAAACCCCTTTGAACCATTTCCTCAACAAGTATTAATGCCTCGTAGCACTTGTGTTGTCCAATAAATCCTCGAATAATAGTGTTGTAAGTGACATCATCTGCCCATTCTGTTCCATTTTAACAAACAACTCTTTAGCTTCATGTAGTAGGCCTTCTTCACAAAGACCTTGTATCATGATAGTGTATGTCTTAACATCAGGTTGTAATCCCTTGGAAGAAAGGTAACTGAAAACGGGCCCTTGCAGTGTCAAACTTTTTATAATTGAAGAATGCATCAATGAGGATATTATACTTAACAATATGAAGAAGTAAACCATTGCTTTCCATCATGTGGAATAATGACAATGCTTCAGAAATATGCCCATTTTTGCACAACCCGTCCAATAAGATACCATAAGTTTGAGAATTTGGAATTATTCCTGCAGCTTCCATCTCATTAAAAAGTTCTTGAGCAGCTCCACATCTACTTGATCGAAACAAGCCCTGTAGCATAGCATTAAAGGTTTCGGTGCTAGGTTTCAACCCCCTTCGAGGCAATTCTCGAAAGAGAAGCATGGCCTCATCAATTTTCATCTTCTTGCAATATCCATTGATTAGAATGGTATAGCTAAATACATTAGGGTGAAGGCCCCTCTTCACCACGACATTGAACACCCTAATTGCTTCATTCATGTGGCCTTGCAAACAATATCCATCCATTAGAGTACTGTATGTGACTACATTAGGATCCACACCTCTTTGTATCATGACTTCAAGTACCTCCTCTGCCTCTTTCATCTTCCCTTCCTTGGTACATGCATCCAGCAACACACTATACGTATGAACATTCGGAGCAATACCACTATCCAACATTTCTCTAAACATTCCGGTAGCCTTCTTCCACCGGGCAAAATTACATAGGCCATGAATCAAAGAGGTATAAGTGACAACATCTCTACGAATGCCATGTTCATTCATCTTAGAAAAGAGTTTCATAGCATCTTCCACCATTCTATCATTGCAAAGACTATCAATGATTGTGTTATACACTACGGTGTCAGGTTTACAACTTCCCTCTTCCATTATCCTAAGCAAACTAACAGCCCTGATAATGTTCCCCGTTCTGCCGAGCCCATTAACAATGGTTCCATACATAACCACGTCGAGTTCAATTTCACTCATTCTCATTAATTTCTTAAATAACTCTACAGCTTCAGGGGTTTTATCATCCAAAATAAGTCCATTTAACAAAGTGTTAGTTACATCAGGTGTATAACCGCGTTTGAAGAGGGTACCCAAAAGAGAGAACCCAAAATTGACTTGATTCAGGCGGCAATAACAGTTAATAGCAATGTTGAAGGTGTAGATATCGACCTGAATGCCTAGAAAACGCATTTTCCCAATAAGAGGAAGTGCAAGGTTGTAATGACCCATTTTCAAAAGAGGACCTACAGCTTTGTTGAATTGAGAAATCGGGGGAAAGGTCACATTTGGATCATGCGATTGAACGAATTTACAGCGTCTTGGAGATCATTGCATCGCAGTGTTGGTAAAGTTTTAGAGTTTCAGGTAGTAGTAGAGAGAGAACAACGAAACAGAACAAATAAGAATGAAGAGGGATGATTAATTAGAGAGGTGTACGGGAAAGAAATAAACATTCTCGTATAATCCTGTTGATCAAGTCTGCACTCCTCCGTACGTCGTCGCTTTACTCCCTGAAAACACAAACATGAGCTAACCGACGGGTGTGTGCCGGAAACCCCTCCGATGCCTAAGTCAGCAACTAGACAATAGACAATAAGCTCTGTGTATTCTAGAGTAAGAATTGTGATACCTCTACATAGGTCTGATCATGAGCTTTTATAGACTTTACTTTGGCACAATCCTAGTAGGATTCCAACTCTCCCTATGAGAGTCCTCTTAGAAATCACACACCCTACTCACTACCAACCAAGTGAGATGGTTTTGCACAATCCTAGTAGGACTATACTCTCCTTAGCAGAGTCCTCCTAGGAGTCATACTCCTACTTACTGCCAACCAAGTGAGATGGTTTACACAATCCCAGTAGTACTCTAACTCTCCTTAGCAGAGTCCTACTAGGAGTCTCATCACTGCAAGCCAAGTGAGATGGCTGAACCTTTTATCTTGGTTATACATTCCTGCCCGAACTGATTTATCTTGGTCCCCTGCCCTTCGAACCGTGTGATCGAAAGCCGATCTAACGGATGCCACCTTGCCGAGCTATACATAGCCCGGCCCTCGCCATTGATGCTACCTCCTTTTAATAAGCTACTGCAACCACACCGAGCTAAGTTACCTCGGCCACACGCTTAAGTAATGATGTAGATGGCGCCTGGCTGAGTTATACCAAGACCGGCCGAGCTATACCAAGCCCGACATCCTTTCTCACCAATACCTCGGCTAACCACTAGGCCCACTTATTTCGGCTGACATCTTTACCTCGGCTGACATCTTTACCTCGGCTAACATTGCGGTCAGCCAAGTTACTTCGGCTTTGTGATACTTTAAGCACTACTACCAGTCTTGACTTTGAGATGACGCCCTGCAGAGCTATCGTTTAGCTCGATCCTCTTTCTACCGATACCTCGGTCTATAGTTCGGCCCAAACCCAACATATGAGATGTCTTCTTGGCCTAAGACCGAGCTACACCAGCTCTTATCTCGGCCCATTACGCGGTTCAACTCCCAAAGAAGACTCTTCCTAGCTCGGCCCAATTTGTTTACAAATTACCCTCTCAAGAGGGAAATATTGTACCTTTTTGACAATTATGATCGGCAATTCTTCTTCTTCTTCTTCATCCAATAATGGAAGAAACAGAAACTCTTCTTCTTGACATCTTCTTCAAACTCTGTCACTCTGTGTGTCTGAGAGGAGGGATCGAGAGAGATAGAGCCTGAGAGTGAACGAGAGAGAGAGGAAGAGAGGAAAAGAGGAGTACAGACTGGGTTAGTACACAAAAACATACTCATTTGCAATTTTTCCAAACAAAATTGAGAAAATTAATAAAAATAATAATAAATTTAACTTTTATAATAAAATAAATCTTTAATTTGAGTTATGGGGAAATTGGTCTAACATCCTTCTCTAATTTTTAGTAAGGGGGAGGTTTCTAATTTTTTTTTTTTTATAGCCTAAGATCCCTTACTCACACTTATATATTATGAAGTACGGATACTCTGAAATGGCCCCCATATGCGTATCGAATACATATCGGATACGGATACGCGTCCGATATGGTAGGATATGTATCAGATACGGCAGAGAAGTATCCCAATTTTTTTTTAAAATTTTTTGAATCTCGGATACGTTTGGGATACGCAAGGTGACTTCAAGGATGCGCTTGGGATACTTTCGAGATACGGCGGGGCAAAAACAATAATTTTAAAAACTTGTAATGGGGTCAAAATATAAATTAACAAAAGTAATCTAAAATAAAACAAAAAATCAAACAAACAAACCCTAGCTTAGCAACAACTCGAATAGCAGCAACAACGTCGTCGTCTCTATCACGATTCACGAACAACAGCAACTCTTCGTTGTCGTCATCAACCAAGGTTCGTCCTCTCTCGCTCTCGCTCTAGCTCTCACTCTCATTCTCTCTCGCTCTCACTCTCTCACTTTTCTGTTTGTGTCACTTGATCTCAGTCCCTCGCTCTCACTTGATCTCACTCTCTCTCTCTCTCTCTCTTCCCCTCTCCCTTTCGCTCAATTTCTCTCTCCCTTTCGCTCAATCTCACTCACTCTCTGTCTCTCCGTCTTACTTAATCTCACTCTCTCTCTCTCTCACTGTACCAACCCCTTTGAATTTCTTATTTTTTTTTTTTTTTTTTTTTTTTTTTTTTTTTTTTTGCAGCTAAGCTAAGCTACTAGTACTCACTATTTATTTCCTTAAAAGACAACAACATCAAGAACCCTTGTGATGTATTTTTTTTTTTTTATCATTGAAAGGGTAAATTTTTCCCCCTCTTAATTTGAATTGCATTATGGTTGTTATGCGTGATGCTATATTGTTGGAATTGCTAAATTTTGAATTTTGAATTTTTTTTTATGTTCATGCCAAAAGATAACTACATTAATGTTTTGTTTTATTTCTTTACCAAATTTATATCATGCCAAAAGATAACTACATTAATGTTTTGTTTTATTTCTTTACCAAATTTATAAATTTTAGGAAATGAGTTTGGGTACGGGAAGTTTGGGTTCAACAAGTGGTATACCAATGGAAGAAGATGATCATGTTCCTCTTTGGTGTTATGTTACAAAAATGGAAAAAAAATGGGAGAATGAGGTGGTAATACCAAGTTTAAATGCACTTACTGTCAAAATGAGTACAAGTAGGGTCAAGGCACATTAGTTAAAACTTTCTGGCCATGGGATTAGAGTGTGCCCCAAAGTGACTCCTCAACACCTTGCTGAAATGCAAAGGAAAATTGAAGAAGCCGAGAAGAGGTTAAAGATGGCTATGCCTAAAAAAGTTCCTTTACCACATTCCACTTGCCAATCTACTTCAACAGGTTTAGGGCCTTTAGATATTGGAGGGGTATGAGCCAAGAAAAAAAAAGACTACTGGAACTTCTGCTCTAGAAAAGTCATTCAACCCTGTTATTCGGGAACAATTGCATTCTGAGATTGCTCACATGTTTTATTTAGTGGGGTTACCTTTTCATTTATCAAGGTACCCATATTATGTTAGTGCTTTTCAATTTGCTACCAACAATCCAGTTCCTGGTTATGTACCACCTGGTTATAACTTGTTAAGGACTACATTGCTTCAAAAGGACATGGCTAATGTAGACAGGTTGTTGAAGCCAACTAGAGCATCATGGAAGGAAAAGGGATTGAGTATTGTTTTAGATGGATGGACTGATTCTCAAAGAAGGCCCCTTATTAATTTATAGGAGCATCAGAAGCTGGGGCAGTGTTCTTGAAAGCTATTAATTGTGAAGGTGAGTACAAAGACAAGTTTTTTATTTCCAACTTAATTAGTCAAGCAATTAAAGAAGTTGGACATCAGAATGTCATTCAAGTTATTACAGATAATGCTCCCATGTGTAGTGCAGCTGGTTTACTCATTGAAAATAAGTACCCCGAATATCTTTTGGACACCATGTGTAGTTCACACATTGAATCTTGCTCTTAAGAATATTTGTGCTCCAAAGGAAACAGGGGGTACTGCTTTTGCTTACGATGAATGTCACTAGATCACACTTTGTGTTGATGATGTGATGTTTATCAAAAAATTCTTCATGAACCATTCCATGCGGCTAGCTATTTTCAATGAATTTGTATCCTTGAAGTTGCTTGTTGTTGCAAACACACGTTTTGTATCTGCCATTGTCATGCTCAAAAGGTTTAAACTTATAAATCGTGGCCTTCAATAAATGGTTATTAGTGACCAGTGGGTTTCTTACAAAGAAGATGATGTTGGGAAAGCAGCATCTGTGAAGGAAAAATTATTGAATGATGTGTGGTGGGATAAGATTGATTACGTTTTGTCTTTTACATTGCCTATCTATGAGATGCTTAGGTTTTATGACACTGACAAACCATGCCTTAGTCTATGAAATGTAGGACACCATGATTGAAAAGGTGAAGGCAAGCATCTTTACGCATGAAAGGAAGCTAGATCATGAGGAATCAATCTTTTATTCCGTTGTACACAATATACTAGTTGAGAGGTGGGCCAAAAGTAACACTCCTCTTCATTGCCTTGCACATTCTTTGAATCCGAGGTAATAACTTAATTCATAGTCTTACTAATTAGATTTCTTTGTTCACATTTGTCTCTTAATATGAATAACATAATTTAATTTTGAAACTTTCTAATGTTGTTGAGATGGGAGATTTGCGCCGTTAGTACGGCCGAGCTAAGACAGGACGGATCTGTTTTGCTCGGTCTAAAAGATCGGCTGACCGACGTGATCTGAGCCTGGCCGAGCTGCGACTAGCAAACATTCGGTAGTGCACATAGCCGAGTGGCGAGACCGGGCTACGGGTAGCTCGGGCTAAACTATGGATAAGTAAGGGATGGCACGTCTCTGACCGGATGGCCGAGATGGGCAGATTCCAGATAACCTCGGATGAAGGTAGAGCGGGCGGAGGCCGGCATGCCTCATGACCGGTATGCCACGATGCACCGGTCAATACCAGCCCGGCCCATGAAGCATCACCCCTCTGTCCCTTTGACAAGGGCCAGTCCGGTGGGGCATGGCGCGGTTGAGCGCCTATGGTGATAGTTCTGCGTGGGAGATAGGCCGATCGTGGTACTGCGGTCTGGTGTGCCACCTAGGCCAATGGCATGAGGGAGAGGACATCTGCTCCACGCATGCCTCAATACTGTTAGACAGTTCTGCGTGTACTGGTGGGAGGACTAAGCCTTTACACGCATAAGGTGGTAAGAGGCGAGCACTG